AAAAATACGTATATATAAAAAAATCAGTCCTATCACCAAACAACAGTTGTCCAGTACTCCTAAGGCAAAGAATTAAATAGACACATCGTGTCTCRCCTAATCAGATAACTTGCTAATGCTATGTTCTTTTTTATTCTGACAAAGCTTGTCATGCCTTCACAAGTGCATTTTTGTGAAWACCATCTCATCTTTTTGAGTACTAAGGAACTGAATGCCTCAGTTATTTTATGAAATGAGACAGGAGGTTGGCTTCCCTTTGAGCAGAGGCCTGGGAAGAGGGTTGTTTCTCCCATAGCGCCAGAGGCCAGAGAGCCTGATACATGACTTACGCAGCCCTTTTTTTTTTTCTTTTAAATTTCATTACTGATGCTACATATCATTTTGAAAAGCATACCAATTTCTGTCTATTTTATTTTCTCTTTAGGACACTGTCAGGTAGACATAGTCCCCTGAAGTTGTATTTCATAAACATAAGGCTTTACAAAATTTGAGATGAATAGGAACATTTCATAGAATCCCTCAGGTCGGAAAGGATCTCAGGAGGTCACCTACCTCGGCCTTGTGCTTAAGGCTGCTGAAAGCACTGAGCTCACTCCAGATTGCTATGACTTTGCCCAGTTGGATCATGAAAATTTCTAAAGATGGAAATTTCACAACTTCCCTGGAAACATATAGTTTATTTTATGTATATGCCTATTGCATGCACAACATATATGCATACATACTACTGTTAAGAGAGCAAACCTAGAGAGTGAAACTTGTCAGGATGAAATAATGATGCCTAATGATTTCACGTATTAAAATATGAAAAATAAAGCAGAACAAATGAGAGTTATGCAAGCCATGAAATATAAAGGCAGATATTCTATAACACAAAAAAAGCGTTTGAGTAATCAATTTTACTCTACAACATCAATATAAGAAAATATATTATGCATACGACTGTCTGATAGTGTCCTTTTAGCTTACACCAAGGTATTTAACATTCAAAATGAGGATTTGTTCAGCTTATCCTTAACTTTCCAGCTTTCACAGCTGAAACGGTAATAGCTACTCTTGCTTGGTAGTTTTCCTACCACTTTACCTTGAATCCCTAGCTGTTCTTTCCTGCTTGTGTCATTATACATCCACCCAACATCTAAGAACTCACTCAGCAAGTTACTGTCGTGCCTGATACAGCACTCTCAGAAGGCTGAGCCAAAAGCAATGCTTTCTGTCTCTAATTTAGAAGCTTTCAATCAATATTTCATAAAGAATTTCTAAGTCTACAAAATGCATATCAGGAAAGGAAACTTACTATTATTCCACCTAACTTCAGGATACAAGTGTTCATCAAGTCCAACAGTAAATAACTTAAGCAATTAAAAACAACAGGAGATTGAAAATCACTGATCTAGTAGTGCCTTATTTTTTTTCTTTTTTTTTTTCTCTCTTAAATTGTAACCTTAAGCAAAAGGAAAGTGGTCACTGTGACTTCGCAAAAGAGCTGCAGGTAAATAACCTCATTTCTACTAATAATCTTCTATATCAGTTTGAGACAGCTCAAGTAATATTCCTCAAGSCACTTGGCACATTGAACTACTACTGAGGCATTCTCCCAAAACAAGCATCAAAATTGAATGCTAAAGTTGTGAAATAATTACTACTCTGTGATTTTGAGTGACTCCTTGCAGCTCTACAGATTTATAAACAGGAAGCATTCATACCTACTTTAATCATACACCAGAGCCCTAAAGCCTTCAGATACTGGTTGACGTAACAAATCTCCCTGAATAAACTAGACCATCTCAGTGGTGAATCCTACTCATTATGTCCTCAACTARATATCAAATTTGAGATGCACAAACTGGAGAAAACGAACTTCTAAAAATGCTACTTCGTGACCTGCTCAGAGGTAAACCCCATGAAACTCATCCTTCTGTAAACTCTACCTCTATATCTGTGCGCATGATTTCCAAAGACAGCACAACATTTGTTCTTTCCTACTGGAAATCTCTGTGCACTAACTCAAATCACAGTGAAATGTGTCCAATAGTAGCCAGATACTGCTCTGAACAGGTTGCTTGTTGGTCACTACCTGCTTCCATCCCCATACACACACTAGAGCAATTKGTCTTTGCCTTTTTTGATATTATTATAATAGAAAGCTCTGGACTCAAAGACAGCCCTTCAAGGAATCAGGTGTTGAGGCTGCTGGCAGCATAAGTGGAAGATTTTAGACAGATGTCTCTTGCTGAAGAGGTAAGGCCTAACAAGGGGCAATTTTCAGCAGAGTGAGCAATCAGCCTGACAAAGAGAAAGGAACTGGAACAGTACTTCGGAAAAGGCACCAAAATCCTAAAGCCATACTCGTATTTTTCACCATCACAAACCTAAACGATGTCATGAAATAACTTTATGTCCTGTTTGGAACAAAGTTCTTATTTTTACTTCATCTATAACAAAGTGCACATGTACATAGGAAGGACTATGAACCTCAAATCAAGCTCTACAGGGCCAAGGAGTCTCACACAGTGATCCCTGCATGGCCCAAACCTATGACCTTTTCCACAGCAACACAGAGCAGTACCTCTGGCTACTGAAAATAAAGATTAACATAATTCCGTCATATTCATGAGATGTCTCAAAAGCATCCCATGCTTTGACTCCCAAGCAACACCGACTTACAGAGCAGGAGGGAAAATAGAAAACAACAGGACCCCGTGTAATCTCTGCTGGGAAACACAAGGCACTTTCACCATGCACATCCACATGGGCACTTGATCCACAGCACTGTCAGCTCCGGCCGTTTGTGCCCAGGAGCAGAAAAATCACAGTCCTGTCTCATGCTCCACAGTTTTTTCAGAGAGTAAAAAAAAAAAAAAAAAAAGAAAAAAAAGGACCATCAGGTCCTTATTTTCTTGAACAGCAGTTAGTTACATTTTAGCTCCAGTTATTAATATTGTCAGCCTTTAACCACAAAACTCTCCTCACCTTTACTCCTCTTGGTTAGTCCCAAAATGAGATTAAAAAATAAATAGAACTACTGCACTCACAACTTAAAAATCTGCCTTACTTTGTAAAATTTACGGAGCCAGTGGCCTGCATGCTGCATGCTTAACAAGTGACATGAACAGTGCCTTAAAAATACTATCAGAGCATTCTGAACAATTATTTCTTCTGGAAATACAAAACTCTACCGATTTTCTAGGAAGAATTCACAATTGAAGAATTTGTATTACATTACCCAAAATAAAAATTTCTTACCATTTAATAACCAAGACACAATGTTAGGGAGGTACTTCCAGTTGTACATGATTATATCTAGGTTTTTCTTAAGCAGATATTTGTACATTTAACCATTATCACTGTTTGTGTCCACGGAAATGCCATAAGCACCAACCGTTTTGTGCAAGTGAGAACGTCCCTAACAAACAATGTTTTGACAACTGTTCTCTGCATATGGTGATTCACTAGCTAAATAAACAACATAGTTATTTAGCAAAACATGAATTTCTATTAAGAATCTAAAAGAACCTTTCTGTTCTCCTACAGCAAAACAGTATTAAAAACCCCATAAAGACAGAATAACTACAAAGAAAAATATTACACCACTACACAAAATACTGTAAAGTAATTAATAACCAAAAGTGTTTTTATGTAAATTGCTCATTATGAAACTTCTAGGTCAGCTTCCTGGGTTTCAAAGCAATACACGAGTAAAAAACTAACTTCAAAATTTAAAACATTCAACCTCTCTTATTTAAGAACTTTGGATGACACAACTTGAACCAGCRAATGCATTCTCAAAAACAACAACAAAAAGCAAAACTTATTTCAAACACTTCCTGTTATATTCAACTTCACAACACTGCCGCTCTACATTTATGCCTTCAGTTCCTCTTAAAAAAATGTACATCCATATTCCTAAAAACTGCATATACTTTCACTAGAAGTGAAACGTCTCAAGGCCATATTGAAAATCTACAACAAAATAAAAGAGTTTGGAGTCACGTATTTGTTTCTTCTTTTTGACAGCACTTCAGAGCATGTCGCTCCATTTCCTACTTGGCACTGCACCCCTACAGCAGCTCCACCATCAGAAAAGGAAAAAAAAAATCGCAGCAATATTTAATAAACATACCATCTCGTGTTTATTTCCATTTCCCCTTCACCCGGCGCTCGCCGCTTCCTCCCCATTTCCCTCCATCCATCACCGCTCGCCTCCCAGATATCAGACCAAGGAAAACAGAGAAGAGAGCCCAGCCCCGGGCAGCCATGGATGGCTCGGGGCTCAATTCCAGCTGTAAACACGGAGCAGGTGAAGGGCCGGGGCCGCGGCCCTTATGCGCCTCGTTACGGACCGATATATATTTTATCGTTCCTGCATTTACTACCGAATAATTACGGTCCCTCTTTGTCCTTGGACTTGGGCAGGTGACAGGGCGCAGCTCGCGGCCACCTCGGCGCCGTGGGAGGCTCCCGCGCGCCTTGACCCTCGCCAGGAATAAATATAAATAAAAATAATCCCCCCCGATCCCGTGGGAAATGGAGGGGGGCGGCTAGAGGCGCAGCGGATGGATCCGCCGGGATCCATCGTCCTCCGAAGCTGCGGGCCGGGGGGCAGCRCGGGGACCCCCCCCTTCCCCCTCCGCCCCGGCCCCGCTGCCCGCCCAGGGGCCTGCGAGGCGCCCGCTCGGCTCGGAGGCGGCTGCGGCGGGAGGCTCTCGGCGGCAGGCCCCGTTATTAACGAGATATTAAAAATAAGCACATATAAACACGGCTAAGGGAGGGGGCAGGGCAGGCTCCGCCGCGCCCCGCCGCACGCTGACAGCGCCGGCACCGGCGGCGGGTTAAGGGAAGGGGGGGGGGGGGCGGCCCGCCTTCCCCCTCCGCCGCCCGCCCGCGGGCCCCGCCGCGCCCCCTCACCCCTCCGCAGGGCCTCGTCGTAGCTGGGGGGGGGGGGGCGGCCCGCCTTCCCCCTCCGCCGCCCGCCCGCGGGCCCCGCCGCGCCCCCTCACCCCTCCGCAGGGCCTCGTCGTAGCTGAGGAAGCCGATGCGGGACTCCTTGGCGCCCATGGTGCCGCTCAGTCCATGGCCTCGGCCGGGCGGCCGGCTCGGCGCCGCGGAGCCCCGGC